GGTTTTTGGGCGGCGGCGTTGCGTTAGTTGAACCTTTTTCGGGCAAAACACACTCGAGAGTTGGTCAAAAGGAAATGGGAGGGGGGGACAGACAGGTTGGTTTGGACGGCAAGAATGTGGATTAGTCAAGACTTTGATTGAGAAATTCTTAGCGATCGCCGTGGTTTGTTAAATGGATAAATAGGAAGTCATTTTGGGATTTAATTTACTTTCCCTCTGCCTTGAAAGTAATTGTTTTTCAGTTTTTGTTGCTCTATAGGTAACATACATATACTGTGAGATTATTTTATGAAGGCCATCCACATATGACAGCCGTGAGTTGATCGTCGTCCATCATCGTACATGGCCAATGGCAAGGTAATCCAGGATGGTTGCTCCAATGAGTTTGCATTGGAAATCTTAACCTGTCAGGCAGGTTGAGTCTCTAGGTTTCGGAAGTCCAGATTGCCTGCTTTTTAAGCCGCCACCTGATTACAAGGAACTTGAAAATAATAAATGTTAAATTTGTAATTAAATTTATTTACCAAATAATAAGGGTATAAATCTTAAAGTAAGCTGAAAACTAAACACACAGTTTATAAAAGGAACGCTAAAGAGTTTTATGATTTTAAGTTTAATAAAATATTTATTGTTTGAACATTAATGTTTACAGTTGTTACTTTAATTGATTTAAAACATGAATTGTAATGAATTTTTTAAAAGGTGTAATGTACCAATTTAACCCTAAACCTTTTGAGCAGCATTTGCAATATTGGGACTAACATCTGACACGAATGTTAGTGTTTCCACTGGAGCTCTCAAGGAATCCTTTAACAACAGTCACTCCTGTATTTCCACTCGCAACAGAATCGACTACCACCGACTACCAGCAACATCAACTACTTGTGGCAATTGCGTAAATGATGTTCTAATACAACATCAATTACAATGGCAAGCGGCCCATGGCCGAAACCGTAATGATGTAGTCAGCCTCCGAGTTGCGTTTCAGCCAGGTATTCGCCTCCAGTTCCGCGCCTCCTTCTTCCCACTTCGATCTCTGGCAGCCACTTCTGGCTTGTGCTCCTCAATAAGCTTGTGGCATTCACGCCTTGTTGTTGCCAGCTTTATCCTCCTCTACTGTGGATGTTGCTGCTATTGCCAGTGTGTAGCTGTTATCGTTGTCGCTGAACCGGCTGGAACTCGGTCCCTGCTCTCGGCATCTCCGTAACAGTTGCCCGAGTGCATCCATATTACCCTGTACTCTGGAATGGAGTATCATGGCCGAGATTCATTCGAAAATTGTCACACGTTCCCAATTGAAAAGTGAAAATGTAAAGACACAAAAGGGGATAGTGGAAGTCTTAAGTAACATGAAAAATTAAAACATAAGACACTGATTTTTGTATATTTTCTTAAATTAAATTTAAATAAATATTTTATCTATAAAGAAATCTATAAAGTAAAGAATTTCTAAATTATTTCTAAAACCTAACACAATCTAGAGATTATAAGTTGCCCATGTGTCCCTTCAGATCTTATTTTGACAATTTTTTATGTTGTTAATTACAAAAAAAAAAAACAATGCTATTTATAAATTATTCTAAAACAGGGTACTCCAACGACCAAATCATTTTATGTAAAATCTTTCTTTGTGAATTCGAGTAAAAATTTCATGCACGTTGTTGCCGTTGTCGTTGCAGCAGTAACATCAGCGGCAACAACAACCGTTTTACGCATGCGTGTGCCTTAGCCACTGGGCTACCTGTTGCACCTGCTCAACCCCCTTTCGGGCTGGGCCCCCTTATCGCCCACCAACAGCTGACTGTGGCACTGCTTCAATTTATGTTTTAATTGTGGAAATTATGTGACACATGTTGCTGCTGTGGCTCTACTCCGCGTGCTTAGGCGGCGCATCTGAGAGCATCGAGCAGACCCGAAGAGCCGCCGTCTGTCATAACTGGTAAAGTTGTAATTAAACTGGTGCTGGGACCCCCATCCCAATTCCCCATTCCCATTTCCATCACCATCCCTCCTCCTGGGAAACTCTCCTTGGACTGCGTTCGTTGCCGCCCATCGGATGAAATTGGCTGGAATGGGGCGACAGCGTTTTGTGGGTTTTTCTCGGGCTGGTTGTAAACATTTTACGGTTGTTTATTGCCATCAATTGATGTATGGGTGGATGGATCATGGGAGGTTTTACAGGATACTGGATAATAATTTAGTTCGAGTGTGAGCAGCTGATGGGGGACTCAATTGGGTAGCTGATCAATGCAGGAGCTACGATGAGAGGTTTCTTTTTAATGGTTTGGTATTAAATTAACTACTATAATTAAAAGTTACTTCCTTTTTTAAATTTTCCTTTAGAGTTTTCAAACACTACAATGTAAAGTTGGTTATTTTTTTGTAATGATAAATTAAATCAAACTATAGAATTAAATCTTTCTAATATAAAAAATTCCAAAATTACGTAAAAACTTCAATCTAATCATTGAGAAGTGAGAACTATATAATTAGACTCATTGGAATTGTTATGGTTATGGCTTTCGTTGCTGTTGTCTTCCGCTCTAACTGCAGTGCGATTGATTGATTGCCTCTAAGACTGAGGAGTTGTTGACTTTACAGCGTGTTTATGGCTGCGCTTGAGTCTTGAACCCCAGTGAACTTAACACAAGCCAACCGCAAACAGTGCCTCCCGACTCCCCCAAACAGTTGCGGTCAAAATAGTGGCACATTCAAGGTTCTCTTAGTGCGTTTTAAAGCATAATACATAATTAAATATGTTTTAAATATTTAAAAGAATTCTTTCCATAGAAATGCAGTTCTTACAACTATATTTTTCAAGAACTTACCATCTAAAAAAAACGATGTATTAATTGTCCTGTTGTGCTATTACCTTAACCACCGCTGTGGATACGTAAGCCAAACTTTATGGAGTGTTGGGATTGGGGCACGTTGCCTAACCATAACGGTAATGGGGGGCTAGTGGTGGCCCAACAACCGGATCGGTACAAAACTTTGGGTCACTCGCTGTGGAAGTCGGGGAAGTGTTTAATAATAAAAATCAAAATACCGTCACGTAAACCGATAACAAGGCGCTAGACCAGCGGATCTCGGGAGGAATTGGAGTTACAGCCAAAACGCAATTAAGACCAACATTTTTATGGTGTTCAAACTATAAAATTCATATAATTAAATTGCAGTTATAACTATAACAGCGGCCACAGAAGCCGCACTTGCAGCAGCAACAGCCTCTACCAGTTAGCGAAACTATCATAAAGCCGGGATCAAATCTTCGCAGAGAGTGAATGATTTTTCCTAAGTGAGAAAATAAAGTGAAAAGTGATAAGTCTGTGGATTGATGTTGAGAAGAAGAATGTGTTGTTAATATTAAAATAAGTATTATTATAAACTTTGGACATTGAAATTTTAATACCTAAAAAACCATTACTTCTTTAAGCAATGTATTTTATTGTTACATTTATTTATGTAACAACTATTCAAATTTAAAAAAATCAATAAAAAGTCATCAATGTATTGTTCAAAATATTTTTTAAATATTTTAATAGATTTTTTAAATATGCATATTTTATATATCCCAGCTTACAAGAATTTGGCTTTTTTGAATTATTATTAATAAGTATAATAAACCAATATTTTAAATTTGAAAATGTAACTAATTTTATTAAATGGTTTATACCATTTACTGCGACACTGGCTAAGCTTTTGCAAACTATTAATTTCCTCAAGCCAATTTCAATGGCGATGGGTAATATATCCCATTAGTTCGATTATAATTAAGGAAATTAAGTCCGTATGGAAATTATCAATTATCTGATTGTATTTATCAAATTGAAACAACGCCGGCAGCGTTGCAGCCGTGTGGCCACTTGGAGCGGAAAACAAAAGTGGAAAAGCGAGGGGAGGCACAAAAAGCAGCAGGGCTGGAGGCGCAAAAAATAGTCCCGAAATTGGCCACTATCTTTATGCCGCCTAGTACCTCCTCCTCCACACCTTGGTGCAGTTGTGCAGCAGGTGTTGAAAGCTCTCTGCTCTCTCTCCCAATCCGCTCTCTGCAAGCTTTTCAAACTGTTGTTTTGTTTTTAATATTTTTTTTTTGCACGCTCTTCGGCTTTCTGTTACGGGTTTTGTGCCGGTTATTGTTGTTGCTGTTGCTTTGGAGTTGGTATTTTCATTGATGAAAATGCCGTGGCGCTTAAGAGAGAGAGAGAGAGAGCTGCGAGGGAGCTATAATGAGAGAGATGCCAAGATTGGGAGCGTTGGAGCAGAGAGAGCCCAATTTCGGTTACAGTGGCAGCTGGAAAAGTTGGACAGGTAACACATAGTAAAATTTACCTTTAGAAAACATTTAGATGATAATTTGTCGTGATTTTTTTCCAAGATTATTATACTATTTGTGTGATAATATAAAAACTTATTGATTTGCTAGATCTTCTAGGCTATTGATGACGATAAAAAAATAAAGCTGCAAGGAAAAACGAATAAAAAGAAAACTATTACATACCAAACAATGAAATTATAATAAAACTATGCATCGTACTTAATTTGTCCGTAAACATAAAATTGTTTAAAGGTCATATTTAATAATACAGGTTTTATAATTGATATCTTCCAGGATTTTTTTTTATTTCAACATGAATATTCGAGGTATTTTTTAAATTCGCTGTAAAGAAACAAGTCCCGATTAAATGTCAATAAAAAAACGATCAACATTACATTGCACAGATGTCAAGGTTTCTCAGTTGATCTCTTCCCGTTTCACCTCTGCACTCTCGCTCATTTTTTTTTGATCGCTCGGAAATTTCGCGAATACCTTTTTGGTAAGACGGAACAGCTGAGCGCTCTCTCTCTTAGCCACTCCGCTCTCTCTTCATCAGCCAGCAGGTGCAACGCAACAAGTGCCGCAGCGAGCTTCGGCTCTCTCGCCTCACGGCTGGAAGACACCTGAGAGCTGAGCTCACCTGGTCGCTCAGTTTGAAAAAAACTTTCGTGCGAGACGGACGTGAGTGACGGAGCATCGAGCTTTTTTTGCCTACCACCAAACAGTTGACTGCAACTTTGGCGCGACTTTTTTGCGAAGTGAACGACGGACGACGAATCGAGATCGCAGCGAAATTAGATGTGAAACAAGTGCAGAAGTGCCGAGACGAGGGAAAGAGGGAAATAGAAAAGCGGCGTACCTGTGCAACGGCGCACTGTGTTAGCCAAGTGTAACGATAAGCAGCGATACCCAATACCCCGACTAACTAAAGGAAAGCAACACACATAAATAATACCCCTTAGTGGCCAGCAGCCATGTCTACCACTACGAAACTGGAGCAGCAGCAGCACTCGAAGCCCATACTGAGTCCAACCCGATCCCTGGACGAAGGTTTCGAAAGCGATCCGGATCGGGTTTCCACAGATTCGGAGCATCAGACAAGTGGAACCGGCACTGGCAACACCACCACCACCACCAACACGAACAATGCCAGCAAGCTGGCTCAGCTCAGCTCGGCGGCCACTGGCGGCGCCACCAAAGCGGCATCGTCCAGTCCTCCATCCTCGAATACCATCGGAAGTTCGGGCAGTGCCACCAGGGGTGCCCTCACCCTGGCCGCCCCGCAAATCCAGAGGAGAGAGTTCTTCAAGGACCAGGGACCAAAGCTCCAGCGGCAACAGGCACCGCCACCGCAGCATCAGCAGCAGCCTCGCCTGCAGTACCAAAAGCAGCGGCAACCGTTGGTCCCCAGTGCCGCCTCCAGTGTTCACAATCATCGGTTGACCTCGGGCATTACTGGGTCCTCCGGCTCGGGAAACAACAGCCTGGGAAACACCGGAACTGCCACTTCCAACTATCGGCGCGGACGTCGGCTCCACATGAACCCCCATCACCCCACCCGCAACGGAATCCGTTCGCATTCCGTGGACGCCATATCACGACACAATCGCCACGGCTACGATCCCAGTAGCCTGATCCTAAAGCACGACGGGAATGGCAATATCAGTAGCAGTAGCAGTGCGGCGGGAGGCGCTACCCGCATGCTGAACTACAAGACAACGGGTGGCGGAGCAAGTGCAGCCGGAGCCCCAGCAGCAGGACAGGCTCTGCTGGTCCAGCCCATCTCCAGTGCCACCCTGTCGCCCCTGGTGGCTGCTGGCGTTGTGGACGGCGTAGAGGGTGGCGGCTCGTCACCCGTGATTGCCTCGGCCACCCACAGCCTGTACACCTTCTATCCGGCGGAGGGAAACCTTCAGGTGTGGCAAACGGAGTGTGGCGACCTTACCTACAAGTCGTCCCGGAATATGCATCAGCTTCACAAGGCACCAGTGTGCTGGACGCAGTCTATACCCAGACAGGCCAGAAGGTGAGTGTTTTTAATTGGGAAATGTTTTAAATTAGTTTTGGGGGAAAATCTATAAGGAAAAAGATTTTCCATTAGGAGTTTTTTACTTTCAGTTGTCATAAAATTGAAATCAAATTTTTTGCAATATCATTTTGTAAAGAAGGATAAAAGCAATATTATTTAGGGAAATATTGCAGTTTTTTTACTTTTCTCTATCTAAAGATACTTTCAATGAACATTGTGCATTTTTCGTTCTTTAAAAAGTAAAATCTATTTGTGTCTCTTGAGAAAGTCTCATAATTGATCACTATTCATTCTAGTTCTTTAATTAAGAGAGAAACAAACAAGTATTACTTTTAGTCTTAGACAAGCTACACTTAAATCTGGAGCTCAATAAATCGCTCAAAATGTAAGCTAATTAGTTAATGGTTCGGCTTTATTTTTGGCCAAAAATGAAGTCAATAGCCATTTCATCTTTAGCGCTCGGCCAGAGTGAAAGTCTTTTTAACAGCATCGGCATCGGGCCAAGACGCGAAGAGAGATAGTGAGAGAGTGGGCAACGATGGAGAGAAAGAGAAAGAGGGCCGCAGCAGCAACAGCAGCAGCCGCAGCAGCAGCAGGCGCATGTGTCATTTAGCTCTGGCCGCGGGGCAGGTTGCTGCAGTGTTGCAAGTTGCTCTGTGGCAATTAAAATGCCTTCGGAAACTGCTTCACATTGATTAGCTCTCTGCCCAGCTCCGACCCTTAGCAGACTGTTAAATCGCCCTTACATAACTTAACATTGCCCGGGGTTCGCCCCGAAATAGGTGTGTGTTTGTGTGTGTGTGACCCCAAATTAAACGCAAATTGCACACCGAAATTCAGGCACATAAAGTTTGCCAATTTCGCGCTTAACATTTCCAAAAGACATTTTAAGTTTTGCCCAAATTCGGGTTGGGTTTTTGGGCGCTGGAGACTGTTACAATTTTTGTCTGCGAAATGTGTCCGAAATACTTAATAGCTCTTGCAGTCGTTTAACTTTTATTTTTAGTTCGGGTTAAGGGGGCTTTTCATTGCTAAGAAATAGTAAATATAACGTAAAATATTACCAAAGGCGTGGAAAAACGAGGGAAAAGGCAAACAGTTTGGTAAAAGTGACCGAAATTATTAGCTAATTTTAATGGAGAAATGAAATGGGGTAATAGTAACTAAAATATATAATTTATTTTAAAGATGGAGTTCAATTTAATCAAAAGCAAGTGACTATTTGTTTTAATACGAATTTTTTAAATCTAAATAAAATGAATTATTAGTAAATGAATTATTAGTAAAATCGTACACAGGAAAGCAATATCAATTATTTTATATCCCATTAATACACATACACAAAGTACATGTAATGTTGTCTGATTTTCCATGCAAAATAGGAAATATTTCGAATTTTACTTTCAAATAGCATGTAATGCCTAAATGACTTTTGATGTAGCAATTCAGTCTCAGTTTCATTTGAAGTTTTCATTGCATAAGCACACGCAAATATGTTTATTAAAAGCCTTTTACTTTGACTAAGAAAACCGCCCACACCACCGCCCAATGCTGGGGCAACTACTATCGGGCCGGGCCCCCCTGGCGTCTTCGCTGCCATCAAAAATGGCAAACATTTCAATCAGCAGGAGCAAACATGCAAAGTGAATCAAGACCGCATGGAAATGTGGCAGCAGGCGGCAGCTGAAACGTTGATAAGACTCCCCCAACGAAGCGTTCAATCAAAAGACTTAGGCAACGAACTCGATTAGTTCAACGCACTGGCAGATGATAGATGATGTTTGTGTCTTTCTGTGACCGCAGGTTGTAGTGCTTTCGGAATTTTCTCTATTACGATTGCTGTTGAGGTTCGATTGATATCGCTTTTGGCAAACACACAGCTCACAACTCTATTGCAAATCAAATTGCATGATGCGCAAATATTTCGCTTCGACAGCAACTCTAACACCACCAGCAACAATAAAAGTAAAAGTTTTTTATTTCGCTTTGGCAAATTTATTTACATAGTTTGGAGTACACTTTTTTTCTTCATTTTTACAATGTGTCATACCTTTGCACACTTTTGCTTTTCATGAGACATTAGTTTTAGGTTTTTTCGTATTTTTTGTTGTTGTTTTGGACGCTGTGTGTGGATGGACCAAGTGTAGGTGTCCAAGCTGTGAGCATTCGAAAGTGTTTTTTATGAAGTGTGTGTGTTTTTTTCTTCGTGTTTTAGCCAAGGTGTTACTGGAAAGATGATTTGGTTGCTTTTTGGCGTGCGAAAGTATTGTTTTTTTGGGGAGATGAAGACGGAGTGGTGTTGTTTGATGTCTGCCCGATAGTGCCAAGCTTCCGCTTTATTATGGGAATTTGCAAAAATATGTATTCGCACTTTATTTAAAACTGAAGAAATTGTAACATGCGTGGGTTGGGATGGATCTCAAGTGCAGACTATCAAAAGTTACCTTTGGTTCTCAACCTTATTCCTTATTTCCTAACCTTTAATTTATTTCTTTATTGTAAAAGTATTGGATTAGAAATTCTTTTCTTGGTCTTTAAATTAATTTACAATTTTCAGTTGATATTTTATATCATTAAGACAATGATAAACTTATAATTCCTGCAAAACTTTTAGAAAAACCCAAGTTAAGAACTTGTACATCTCTTCTTTTTAATCTAATCCCATCAATATCATGGCCACCATGCCAATAATATGGCAAGCCCTCTTCAAGGCTACATCTTGTTTGTGTGTGTTTGGTGTGTGTTAATTTTCAATGACGCCATTAAAGAGCCCATGAGATTGTCACTTAATCGCTGGTGCTTGCCACTTGCGACTTAATTTGATAAACAAATGCCGCTAATTGCTCCCCATCAGCCAATCGGGATAGAGAGACCCAACCATAATTGCCGACTATTTACCCCTGTGTGCCTGAGGTGAAGGCTAAAGCTTCCTTCTGATTGCTGTTTGCCAGTCACTTTGCGCTGCGCAACCTGTTGAGTCCGCAGCATAGATAGATGATCAGCTTGCTGCTCGGCATTCACTTTGATTGCTCATCATTGAGCTCATCATCAGCGCCGAAATCATCGGCAAATATGGTGCCTAATTAAAAGAAATAAAAGCTCAAATAGAACCGAAGACGATCTTCCGTATTTACCCCAATGCGCTGGTTGGTTGATTTTTTTTTTGGCAAATACAAGATTCGTATGTCAATATTTGTGGCGACGGAGGCAGTGGTTTTGGATGAGCGGGGAGCCTAAAAATAGATCAAGTGCCGGAGGAAGCGGCGCTCAAGGGGCAGGTAAATGAGACAAGTAAACTCTTTTTTTTTTGCATAATATACCTAGGACTGTCAAGTCCAACTGCCAAATTGTGTTGTTTACTTTGAGCGAAATGTTGTCACCACAAATACGAATGACTTAAGCAGCGAACTTGCCGCTTATGCAATCCACCTCGCTGGCGCGCTTAGGATATCTTTAAATGATTCATTGTCTTGACTCAAATCTTCAAAATCCGAGCATTTCAAGCACTTTCAATGCCATATTTTTTGGGTAATTGCTTTTTTAAATACACATTTTTTTTTTTGGCACCCACTCTTGACGGCGCTGAAACACTTTCAATTTCAAAGCTTTGACGTCTGTTTTAGCACCATTTTTGGACGAGTCATCAAGACAAAAGAACTATTAAATGGAGATCACAATTCTATGGAAACGTTACCCCACCTCCCCTCACCGCACAGTAATTGAGTCGTTGTCAATGACATCAGAGCCAGCTCAAAAATGAATAGTAGCTGAAACAAAAACTTCATATAAAGCAGCCGGAAATGCAGCGGGCTGAAAACAAAAAAACTTCCCAAGCCTCTATAGGGTTTCCCGCTCAACTGTTGTTACATTTTTCCCTCTGACCATTTAGCATTCGCCACTCTGGTAATTATGCGAAAATGAAAACAATACGACCTGGGTGAGTCACCACCGCCAGTTGTCGACACCTGCCGACCCGCTTTGGGTCACGGGCCAACAATGTGAACTCACATGTGAAGAGAGTCTCGGAGTCTCGGAGTCTCGGGTCTCGGGTCTCGGGTCTCTGGTCTCGGGTGCACGGGTTCAGTTCACCGGGGTCGGGTAGCGAGCCAAATTGTAAAATGCAATAAAATTTGCTGCCATAAAGCAGCCGCTTTTGTTCGAGTGCGAGTCATGGTAATTATCCCCTTTGGCATATGGACAAATGAATTTTCCAACTGCCACACGGCGGGGTGTGTGCGCGGTATGCAAAACTAAATAATTTTTCGTTGCAATTACTTGCGGCTTTGTGGAGGGAAAGTCATTCGGGGAGTATCGAATTTGCCACCTCTGACTCTCGGGGGTTGCACCAGATCCATGGGAATTTTGAAATTAACTTGTATTTTTATTTTTACCCAATTAAAATACCCAAAGCTTAATATTAAATATAATAAATAATTTGTTGCAAGCTTATTTAATTATTAGTAAAATGTTTCAATCGTTTCGTTCCTTTAAACATTAATAAATTCAAAAGATTTATGCTCTAGATTTATATACAAAGTCATAGACATCTTGGGCAGGGCCACAGCCCAGGCAAACCGCAGAAACCTCACGTTTAATTTGAACAGCAAAATGCAATTTAAGCGAGGCGAACAATTTTGATGAACCGCTTGGATGTTGTTGGGCCAAGAGAAAAGCCACAGCGTCGAGATCCGCGCCTAAAAAGGGGGAGAACTTGGCAAATAAATACAATTTTAACACCTTTTGCTCCACATTCCTTTTCGGCCAGTTCCGTTAGCCGTGAACGATGATGGCCTGGCCCGGCCCGGCTCGGCTCGGGCATCAATTGTTATTATTATTAATTAGAAAAAATATTTCGCTGGCTAGCGATAGCCGCCGAAACCTAAGCCAGGCCAGACCAGAACCCAGCCCAAACATCGCCTGACTGGAATTATCAGAGCAGAGGCATCAAACCATTGGGAGCTGCAAGTTGCAGCCCGGTGCTGGAGAGTTATTTGGTC